GTTTTTCGACGAGACTTCGCTAGTGCCGGCTGCATCCCGCCGATCGCTATTGGCTGACTCCAATTGCGCAAAATGGCAGCGTTCGAATCCCAGATCTTTCAGCCTCATTTTTGGATAGTGGGAGGAAATGGAGACGCTTTGTCCATGTTCATTATACAGTCTGTGGTTATAACACTGACAAATAGAGGAAACTATCATGTTCAGATGTTTGGCATATTTCATGACAGGGTGAACATGATGTTACTACTAAGGAAGTTTAGATAAACCCAGATCAGATTACATGAGAATTTGACTTAAATAAATTGTTCAGCTGAAGGCCTTGTTTCACGCCTCCTCCTGCAGTCAATCTGATTCCAAATCATCCTCACAAGGAGAAATCTAGTTCACAATTTTATTTTTCCTTTCATTGCAAAGCACCGTGTGCACTGCTGACGACAGCTGTGCAGGAGGAGTCCACAGGCTGTCGTTGTTTTCCTTGTTGCTGCAGTGAATCCTGTTTATTAATTACTCACTGGGACATGAATAAACCTGTGTCTAAATAGTCATTATGCATGATTTGATCTGGATGACCTTTACATCACACAGGAGCAGAAGTGTTCCTGATCCTGTTCGCATCAATTACTTTTAATAATTCAGTCTAACAAGGTCAAATAGCCACTTAACAAATTACAGGGGCTAAACAGTAATTTTCAAAATCTTTCAAATAGCACTTCCATTTGAAGTAGTTGGGCCACAGTACAGTTTTGCTGTTCACCCATATACAGAGCATCTGTGTGCATCACTTTTCTCTATTACACATCACTCACACACTACCAGCAGAGGAAATTTGAGCTGCCTATTGTACATTTGGAGTTGTAGTCTCCTAAAATACTAGTCTGGACAAAGGTCGTTTTCACATATGAACGACCTTGTCAAAATGAACCAACACAGTGTGAAGGGCCTCCTCTCTCTCTCTCTCTCTCTCTCTCTTTTTCTCTGTGTGTAGACGTGTGTGTGTGTGTGTGTGTATGTGTGTGTTTGTGTCGTTTCATAACTGTAACCTCAAGCTGATTTGGGTTGGAAAAACCATAAAGTTCGCATTTACACCCAGCCTAACTAGATCCAGATGATGCTCCTAATAAGCACTTAAAGCATGCTATTCAAAAAAACTTTTTTTTTCCATTTGGTTTGCGACTAGAAGATTTTTACAGCTGCTGTGACAATGCATCAAACTAGTTGCTAAAAGTGTTGTTCGGTGTGAGTTGTGTGAAAATCAGAAAAGTTGACAGCGTGTTGTGGTTTGTTGGAAAAGACAGGGAGATGGAAAGCCCCGTCATTTTTTACACCAAAGCTGTTTTTAATCGCCATACTCTGGGAGGAAAGCGGAGCATTGGTTGTGTGTGTGTGTGTGTGTGTGTGTGTGTGTGTGTGTGTGTNGTGTGTGTGTGTGTGTGTGTGTGTGTGTGTGTGTTGGTGTGTTTGTGTGTCAGCAGGACCAGCACCAGGTTACCCAGTCTGACCTCACCCAGCCAGGTCTCATAAAAGCAGCATTGAGGCTTGGAGGCCCAGAGACACAGCACAGCTTTTGTTGCCTTACCCAAGGTGTATTCCCCCTGGAGGGAGAGTGAGGGGCTGGGAGGGGGGGTACTCATTAGAGAGAAAGAGACCATTCCTTGGCTCGGGCACACATTATTTCATAGATTATCAGTGGAAATAAAACTGTTTCTTTATTTTTATGTATGTTTTTTGCAAGTGCTCAGCCTGGTGCCTCCTCCCACGCTGCCTCACCACACTCACTTCTTTCTCTTATTAATCCAGTTTCCAGTATGGATCTAATTAATAGGTCTGTGTACTTCTTACACATGGTCCGCCAGATGCTCCAAACTCCCTCCCGTGCTCTTTCCCTCGCTTTCTCTCCCCTTACATCTTTTTCCATAGACTTTTTTCAGCTTTCGACACTTTATTTTTTTTTCTTTCTTCGTCCCGGTCCTTTTTATACATCTGGCTTTCATACCAGTGATTTTGGTCGTTTGAATTTGATTGGTTTTAAATCTAACTCAAACGCAGCCTCTGTGGAAGGATCCTCTGTCCTGTATTTACTCCTTTCATTCTTCAAGGTCAATTGCAGCTTTCAATGGTGCTTCAGCGTGTGTGACCGACGCTGCGTGTTTTCCACTGATTACTTGCCCATGAACATGATTAAAGTCACAGAACATCTGTGTGCGTTTACTCCTGCGGCCTGCATGTCCGTGCTTGTGTGTACCTGTGTTCTGATTGTAGGGAAGCGTGTGTAAGCATATGTATGTTTTAAGAGGGACCATTCCACCAGAGCAGTGGTAGTTTTTTTTTCTTAAACGCCACATACACTTTATCCAACCGGTGTTCGACAGTTTTTGATTGCCAAACAGAAAAGTTCTTTGTGGAAACAGTTGCAGGGACTCTCCACGAATGGCCATCGCAGTGAAGAGAAACCACAGCAGAGCCAAGCAATTAGGAAAAATATGTCAATATGAGAAATGTGGCTTTAAAAACAACACTCAGTCACTGCGCTGACTGTGCGGCTTTGTGTGTGAATGTGTAATATGTGTGAGGGAAAGAAACATCCACTGTAACCTGAGTATGTAGAACAGCTCAACTCTAATAATAGCAGCACAAATGTCCGATTTTTTTTCACCCTGATTTTCCCACTACGGATAAACTGACTATTAGAAACAGACGTCATTATAACTGTGTTCAATTCAACTGCAGCAAAAAAGCTAAAGGTCCAGTGTGTAAGATCTAGGTGAAAGGGATCTATTGGCAGAAAACATAAAATAAACCTAGTGATGTTTTCACTAGTGTTTTTCATCTCAATTGTATAAATTGTTGTTTTATTCACCCCAGAATGTGCTCTTTATTTTTAAATACTTTATATTTACATCAGGAGCGGGTCCTCTCTATGGAGGCTGTCATCTTTTTTACAGTAGCCCAGACTGGACAAACTAAAACCTTTTGAGTTTTTATGACAACTGAAGAACTGGTTCTCTGTCATGTTTGGAAGGGGAGGGTGAGGTGAGGGGTGTTCAGCTGCAACATGCAACTTTACCACTAGATGTCACTAAATTAGACACACTGAACCTTTAAACCTCCACATGACCAGTGACACATGTAAAACAGTGTCAACTAAAACTTTCACTTTCATTAAAATATGATTTATTGCAGGACTCATTATGTTAAACATAGTAAACATACCGTATATATATATATATATATATATATATATATATATGCTTGTGATTATATAAAAAATCTGATTATGAAGCTCGTTGTAATTACGTAAAAAAAAATTCTTAGAATCTGGTGTGATGAGGTCTGAAGCGACTGCTGTGGTTAAAGCTTTGTAATAACCTTCTGACATGAAGCATATGTTTCAAATCTTATTATTGTCACCCAGACAGTTCTGGATAGATGAGACCGTTTATCCATCTGATCCAGTGGGGGTGGAAGGTTGGAAACATTTTAATTGGATCTGTTCTCTAATGAAGAAATATACCAGGAAAACTGTCTGTAGGTTATTGACAATATTGTTTCTGGAAATTCTTGATGCTACTGAATATTTACATAAGGAGATTATGTTTTCACCCCTGTGCTTTTGTAAGTTATTTTGGTTGTATGTTTGTTTAATTGTGAGCAAGGTTATGCAGAAACTACCAGATGGATTCTTAAAAACCTGGTAGACAACTGGGATACGTGTGAGGAAAGACCTCATACATTTTGGTGCAGATTAGGATCAAGGTTTTTTTCTTTTCTAGGCCATTTTTCATCAGTTTCATTGATTTCTCAGAGAATAATGGATCTTGAAAAAATGCTGATATTTATGAGTGTGTGTATTTTGTTGCAGATCCAAATAAAGTCTAGTGAATTTATATGTGGTTTTATGAGCGGATTGTTGAGTTATACCCTCTACTGAGTGTCATTCAAGTTTAAATATTATTTCTAAAACCCTCACTATTTGCAAACTTTCATCCATCTAAGAAATCTGAGAAAGAAATCATAAAAACTAAAACCAGACTCTCCACGAGACAAGAGGTCGACCCTTTTAGATGGAAGATGGCATTCATTCTTACTGAATTAGTAATTGTATTGTATTTTTACCTCCACATGTGGAACAGTTTATTTCAAACCAGGTACAGAGTAATCCTTTGCAGCAGCAGCTTTGTAAGTGACTGGGGTCTGTATCAGTTACAGCAGCATACCTTTCTTTGTTTGTGTACCTGCACTATTCATTCTGTGCAACACAAATATTCCTCCATAAAATAGTGTGTTTCTGTTGATCTGGTTTAAATTCATATTCCTATCAATCCAGATCTCGCCCATCACGGGTGTTTGATTCCCATGCCGGAGCAGGCCCAAAACAACAAGACATTCTTTGGCCAGGCTGTATGTACCACAGCTCCACCACAGATAGTTAAGCTCCACCCTCTCATGGAATCACTGAAGGGGATGAGAGACATGGCAAAACAAGAGGGGAGAGCGAGCCATCATTTTACTTATTGACAAAGTCACAGAGGCACAACGTGAGTCCTGAGGGACGGAGAAGGTGCAAAACAAGACGCAGCCATCAGAGCAAGAGTGAGTTGTGTGGGTGTGTGTTGTTGGAAAGGGTTAATTGTACCCATGTTGTGGCTGGCTGTTCTCTGGCAGACTGGCTAGAGTCAGGCTGGCAGAGGGAACAGAGAGGCCCTTTATAATACAGTTCTGCTGATTGAAATCATATGGCATTGCCTGAAATCATTGAACTACTTGGAAGAAACACAAAAAGCAGGAGGGAAGTGTTGAGTCTCTCTTCCTTCCTGCAGTTTGTTTAACACTCTTTTTGTCTCTCGTCTTCTTCGTTCTTTGTTTCTCATCTGGACTCTGATTTTGAGGTATTTCAAATTTTGTTTTTGTGGGGTTGTTAAACCATCATGCTTCGACGGTAATAACCAGACTTTGCTTCCAGTGTCTAACCCCTGCTGTCTCTCCTCCCTCCTTCTTTACAGAGTCTGGACCCTCTCGGTTCTCGGTCTCTCGGCTCCGGGTCTCTTTCTGACTTCTCCTCTCTCACCATCATCCCTCTCACCTCTCCGAGGCCCCGACGGCAGAGACACCAGCAGCTGAGAGGGGCTGAATGGCACCAGCTCCTTTCAGACTCATCATAGGCCCCTTGACGAAGACGTAGGAAGGGACAAACTGCGAGACCAGTCACCTGAAGCATCACCGGCACTTGGCACCATGGCAACCAATAGGGAGCATCAAGTGCGTCACATTACCGGCTTCCCCCGTGCTATGTACCCGTTCACCTTCAACTCCATGAGGAGCCACTCCCCCTTTGACCTGCTGGCCAGTAGCCACCTCTTTGGCCGGTTCGGGGCCGACCTGCCCAAAGAGATGGCCGCTTTGTGTGAGTAACAGAGTTCACTTATTTTTTCCCTCACACTTCTTACACAAACAGCCTCAGAGAAGTATCAGACTCCACTGAAATACAGAGACGTGCGTTCATAATAACATTTTCCATCTGGTGCGTTACATGAAAAACGAGGGCGTTTCTTTCACAGCAATACAACTGATAGAATCTCATTATATGCAGAGCCACAATGAGCTTAATTCAGATTCCAGCAAAAATGTGGAAAAATGTTTTATATCATCATGAGGCCTGAAACTCTTCCAAGGTTCAATTAGGAGGCAAAAAATCCTGATCTCACACCCCTGCACATGACAAGATAGAGTGCTGAGTGTCCATGTCCCCACCACTTTCTGTTTTATGTACGACAGCACAGAGACGGCAGAAAGTTTAGGAAAAGTCTTCAGGGCAGGAGACGAGACGAGACGAGAGGAAACAAAAGGAGAGGAGATTATATTCATGGATCAAATCATTACATGTAAAGATATAGAAACAGAAATGCAAAGCAGATTGAGGCTTTTGGCCGATGAGACAGTTTTTCCATTTCAACTTGCAAAAGCAGTGTGTATGAATAGAGACATGCAGAGTTCCCATTTTGGGTCACAGGGGGCGCTACTCCCCTTCAATAGGAAGAGAGAGACTATTAAGGGAGTTAAGGAAAAAAATCTTTTTACGGTTGATTTTTATAATAAAGGACACTTTCTCTTTTGTTCTAATGTACTATGTTTTATTCTTATATAATCTGTGTGGATAAGATATAATACATACAATTTTTATCCTTTTATTTCTCTGTTCCTCACAGCACTACTTTATTAAATCTGGAATCAGTTACACTATTGCCTCCCTGTAATGTGAGTGTTGTAGTTGTTTGAAGTTATGCAAACTACAGTTGGATTTAGATCATTCATATAAGAGAGAGAAATATCAAAAGTCAGCTGCAGTCACTGTACTGACTGTTCAACCAGGGCAAACCTTAAAGCATTGTATGTTGGTTTTTGTTGGTGCGCAGCTTGTTTGCTCTCCTCTCTTCAAAGAAATTCTGGATCCATTCAGCAACAGCAGAACGAGAACAAATGAAACTTTGTGGTGATTCATGTTTCCTCTTGTCCATCCATCCACGGTTCACTGAGGGAGGGGGCTGGAGCCAATCCCAGTGGACATTGGGTTAGAGACGGGGGTCACCCTGAATCTTTCACACTTTTTACATCTCAACACTTGATCATTTTCCCCTTTGGAATAATGTTTTGGTCATTAGTTTCCATAAGGATATGACATTTTTTTACTCTTTTTTTTACTGGCTTTGTATTTTTAGAACAAACACTTAACCTTTAGCATTATTAAGTGAACACTAATATCCTCAGGTTAAGTTTTCTACATTCAACTACCCTGTGTGTGTTGAAGGCATGTCACAAATATGTACCAATATGAATCTCTTTATATGTATATATCAATGTTTATAATCAAACACTGTACTCCTGTTGGCCTGTGTGCATGTGAGTATGTGCGCACAGACACTGCTTTCACTGAGCAGCAGTTATCTGTTGATCTCCAGTTGTACGTGGCGTCACGGGACCGACAAGAGTGGGTTCAGCGAGCTAATAGCGCTCAGTATGCGATTACATCTTTGACATGTTGCCTCTGGGTTTTTTGTTTATGTATTTACATACGTACATACAGAGACAGAAAGATAAGAGACACTGCTTCATTTTTGTCAGGATAGACGGTATTAACGTTGGTCAGTGCATATGACAAAACAAAGGGCGAAAAGGAACTGTTACAGTAAATGCAAATCAGTCACATGTATCTTTTTACCTGGAAAATCCCATTAAAATTCAATATCTATTTTGCAGTCCTGGTCAGGAGGGGCAGCCATGAAATAAATAACATACAAATACAAGCAAGAGCAAATAAAACAAAAACACAGCAAACAGATTAAAAACACAGAACATACAAGGAATCAATGGCAAAAATGAATGATGGAAAATAAATACTCAAACATTAAGATAGAATAGATTTTGAGAAAGGATCCAAACCCAGCTGACATCAGACTAGAGGGCAGATTGACAGTCCATTACAGTCCTCCACTATGAATACTGGTCTTGCTTGTTAACACTGAACCCAACAGAGATGGCAACATGGAATAAAGGTGCAGCTGAAAAACTTTTGTTACCTTCATCCGATGCAGGCCAGTCTCTAACTTGAGTTTTTCTAAGCACAGTAATCAAACACTCTTTTAATGACTAGAGTCAGTAGATAGCATACCTCCACCAAGGCCCTACAGTCCCCTTATGAAACCACATTTAATTTTAATAGATACAGATCTTGTATCTGCACTAATTTACACAGACTCATAAATATCAACACCCTCAACATTTTCCATTAGGATCTTCCACTTATTCTCTGAGATCAACTAAAATGTTAAAAAAACGCCCTACCTCACAATGTCAAAGACAATGAAAAAATAATCTGGGATACGCCCCATGACCCATATCCGCACCAAAATTTAATGGTTTCCTCCCTGACACATACCACATCCAAGTTTCATGGTTTTTGAGTAATCCTGCTCACTAACAATCAGACACAGATGAAAACATAACCTCTTTGGCTGAGGTAATAATTAAGATTTAAAATGGTAATAGTAAACTGACCACCAGTAATATACTGTAACCAGGGTTTACTATGAAACCACTGAACATTTAATCCCTATAGTGTCAGGTCTACAACTGCCCATCAGTCCCAGTAAAACGGATGGGACAGTGATGCTACAGTTTCCTGAACACACACTTCTGCAGTAAGATGAGAACAAACTTTTAGAGTACATTTAGTGATCTCTTTAACATCCGTTTAAAATACGAAGCAAGTGTCAGCTCACTGAAATATAACAGCAGGGATTTGCAGCAGTTTGTTGCACTCTTCATATCATTATAGATTTTAGATTTTAAAAGAGATTTGAAGATTTGATGAAGTATCTTTGGTAAACTGACGTCTCTTATGTAAGCTGACAGTTAGTTGTGGCCAACCTCCAACAATGGAGTTCTCTGCTGATTATTTTCACTGAAGAAGAATCTATGCAATTAATGAGCCCATTCTTTACCAACAAGCAAAGCTAAAATCTCTCATTAATCCAAGTGAACAAAATTAGACCAAATTACAGTAGAAGTTTAAATGGCCTTTGCTAATTAATTCAAACCAGGTCCTAATCAGTGTGAGCAGAAGACTGGACTTTGTTCCCTAATGAGATGAAACTCAAAGCTTCCCTGGACTAGAAATTAGCGGATATCCACATCAAAAGCTCCCTGCTGCGTATTCAGTCATTTGGTAATTTCTCTCTTCTTTTCCTAATAGCAGTGGGAATTAGAGGGAACACACAACGAACTGTGTTTGGCAAACGCTCTGCTGCCCTGTGCGTCATGGAACTGGTCTAAATACACAATGAAGTCTCTTGGTTTTCCCAGGAACAACCAAATATTTCTAATTATTAGAAAAAGTCATTTTTGTCTTTTTTCATAAACATCAAGAAGCGTATTCTGTCTGTATCTGTAAAGGAACAAATCTCACTGTGGAGCATTCACTGAAAGTGGATTTTTCCACAATGAACATAGTGTCCTTTCGTAATTTCTGAGCTTGTCACATCTTGTTCTTTGTAATGTTTTGAGCGTGTGCGTGTGTGTGTGTGTGTGTGTGTGTGTGTGTGTGTGTGTGTGTGTGTGTGTGCGCATGTGTGTGTGCGCATGTGTGTGTGTGTGTTTGGTGTGATATTAGTAACTTGAACCTAAAGGCACAGACCCAGGCTTGTGTGTTTTTCTTTGTGTCTGTCATCACATGCACTCTGTTTAAGCACACACACACATATTTGGAACACACACACACACACACAAACACACACACACGCACACACAGACACATTTCCACTGCCACTCTGTAGGCTGCACATTCCAACACCCATGAATATCACAGCCCAGCAGTGTTGTGCGCCTTGCCTCACATTGGTGACTATATTTGTGCGCCTGCTGATGACCGCAGTGAGACTTTGTGCAAATATCTGTGGCCGAGCCGGAGGAGCTGCTGGTTGAGACACAGACAGGGAGAGAAAGAGAGGCCATTGTTCAGCCCTCTGTGTGTTTGTGTCAGACATGAAGACAGGATGAATAGCTGAAGAACCTGATTGTGAATAGTTGTAATGTGACTCGCTCCTCTTACAAGCTGTGTGTGCATTTGTGTGTAAGTGTGTGGATGAGAAATGGGGGGGGACACAACCGAGTGGGGAGTCCCGTGTTTTAAGTTTCAAAGACAAGAAAGCTGCAATTTGCCCGACTAAAAGAGTGGGAGGGAGCTTATGTTTTGTTAAAAAGGAAAGGAAAATGAGACTTTCTTCTTCTTCTTCTTCTCCTTCCTCACATTCCCTCCTGCATTTGTGTGTCTCGTTCCTCAAAGCAGCAACAGGGGGCAGGGTGCTGCGAGGTGGGGAGGGTAATTGTCTCAAGGTGTGGAAAGAGCTCAGCAGGCTGATATTGTGCAGCTCTGCTTCCTGCAGTGTGTCATTGTAGTGTAGTGTAGTGTAGTAGAGTGTAGTTTGTGTGTGTGTGTGTGTGTATGCATGCGTGTGTGTTGTTGGTAAGGATGGTGAAAGACAGGTAAAAACTCCTCTGACCCTGGAGGAGGAGGCTTTATGTAAAATGTAAAAGCTATTATCTTCCAAATAATAAGAATTAAAAAAAGGTGATGAAGAAGAATGGATTCAGGGGATTTGTAGAAATAAAAAAGAACAAACAAACAAAACAAAACAAGAAAAACCAAATTATAATTCAGTATGAAGTGCACAAAGCCACAGGCAGGACAAGTTGGGAAGTCTGTGTGTGTGTGTGTGTGTGTGTGTGTGTGTGTGTGTTGGGGGGGTGTCAGAGCCCCAGTGGGGGTTTCTTCCAGAGTTCATCCCTCTTGAACGAGGGAAGGAAAGGGAGGAGGTGAGGCAGTCTCGTACCCAAACTATCTAGACTCCA